GCTGTGCCAGTCAAAAATTAGCTGTAAGAGCTCATCCCTTACCTAAATCAGTCGAGGTCTACCTTACTGATGCAGGCAAATCATTACTTCATACAAACTTATCTTGCACTGGCACAGCCAATGATTGATTAGAGTAGACAATATAGTGGTTACAGAAGTTTATGTGCTTGTCTGTCCAGATCCCAGTCAATATATTAGCTGGCTCAGCGAATCTTTTTTTTCCGTGTATTATATTTCAGTAGTTGAGAATTCCGATGAAATTTCTCAATTGTACTGAAAGATCAACAAATTTCATAACAAGTTTATTAAATTAAAAAGGTTTCCTTAGTTTTGACAATATTGTTTTGAAAAGTCAGACCCAATCTTACATTTAACACTGGCATTCAGAACACTTCTTAAAAAGTCACGCAGCTTTTGACCATTCATTGGACATGGAATTTTGGCGTTCAACATGGGTGAACAACAACGAATTTAGCTATGCCATGGCATGCACAGCCATATGTCAAAAATGCAAGTTCGCAAACATACGCTGTCCGACCAAGCACATAGCTCCTCTGGGAATGCTCCTGGACAAAGCGCCGCATGTGGTCGGGTGCGAGCGTTCCCTTCACAGGTATATCCCGACAGACGCGCGATCTAACACTCTTGATCAAGAAACGGGACGTCACATTCATTTCAATGTAAATCGTGTCACGTCACATTCATTAGAATATTGTGTTACATTCTTTTAAACGTGGATCTATGCCTCAATGGCGTCTGGATTAGCTGAACGTTTAAACGAACTCTGTCAATTCAAATGTGTACATGGTATGGTACACATTAAATAAAGTGTACATGACATGTATGCTTTAATTAATGTGTCATGCATATGTACGCATTTATAAATGTGTACATAGGCATGTACACTTTAAAAGATGTGTACCGGGTGATTCAGAGCACGTGCCGCCGTGTTGCGGGTTTGCCTATCCTCGACTCGGCGGGCGCACGGGTCAGAGGTGAGGATGGGAGAGGTCTCCTCCTCACCTCTCACCCGTGCGCCCGCCGAGTCGAGGATAGGCAAACCCGCAACACGGCGGCGCGTGCTCTGAATCACCCGGTACATGGGCATGTACACATTTGAATTGACAGAGAATGTGACACAAAATTTTAACGAACGTGACACGATTTACAATAAAACGAATGTGACGCCACATTTGTTGAAAACCAGTGTAATAGAGGTAATGCGTAGGTAATGGAGGTAATAGGCAGTAGTCGGGCCACGATTTTGTAGAGTGGATACCGCCTCGGTACTTTTTATTGAGTTGGGTTTCAACCCCGTGCCGGCCCCAGCTCGCGAGCAGCGAGGTCGCAGAGAGATTGCGCCGAGGCGCAGCAGCACGCAAGCGAGCTGCACAACTAGTGGCTTGAAGGACCCTCACGCTTAAATGGGGAACCCTGCATCATCAGCAAACATGCATCAACGGAATCTTTAAAAAATTAAAGGCATTTTTCAACCTAACTTGTGCTAGGAAATTGACTTGTTCCAAGGATATTTACTTGGTTCAAGGACCTCGTATTTTTGGGTTGCTTAGTTTTTGCCACCGAGGCCCGCCCTCCCAGCACGTGACTGGACTTTTAACTAACTTCGTACGTTTGACATTTGCTCTCATTTCCGATTTGGTGGCTTTTTTTTCTTTCCCCCCTGTCATGCTCACCTGGAAAGCGATGCCAAATCTTCTGCTGCTCTGGATCTGGAACACACACACACAGCATTGGTGTAAGCATATGTGCAGACGTGGGCGAGGTGGGGGGAGGGGGGGGGGAGATCCATTTCAAAGCTAGAGCACGGCTTAGAGCTCTGGGCAGTACTCAACGCTGTCTGGTATTCGCCAGGTACTTCTCGATGGGGATGAATACGGAAATATAGGCGATAGCCAGCACTGACGGATTCAGATGAACTTTTTGCAATTTTACACACTACACTTTAGCACCACAGGAAAGGCACTTATTAACTAAGCCTTTGACTTTAGTGCCCCAGGATAGGGGTGTTGTTTAGTGCCTTTTCTTTTTCTAGTGCAAATGTGAAGGGACGGAGTTGCCAGTTTCACTTCGCTCGTCCCTAACTCAAAGCACGCACGGCGCAGCCCCTCTATAGAGAAACCAAGTATCGTTGCGCGACTCTGGTAAAACGACGTAACGTTTTTTTTTTGACAATTTTTCGGGAACTACATATTTATTTTAATAGAGGAAGAATTTCTCTATCGAATGGTATAGGTTTCAAAAATCACCTCAAAATATAAATACTTGGTTTCTCGAGCGTCGCGCAAAGATACTTGGTTTCTCCAGAGGCGCGACGTGTTGAGATAAAAATGCGTCTAAAGTTTTGAGTGAGTGAGACAGTCTGGGCCACACAGCGGTACCACCATGCCAGGACCATATGGTAGACTTCATCATCAGGTGCTTTGTCATAAAAGACCAAGAGAGTCAGGTGCGGCTACATTTAGACGGCGACGGTACAAACGAGCCGGGTAGAACCATAGTGCATTTTTGTCTCTCCAAGCCACAAATTTTCGAATTTTGGAACGGGCTCCTCGGCATTTTATAAAGGATAGACCAAAGAAATTTTGCGGACATTAAAAAATATTATCGATTTTTTGACAATATTTCCAGGCACAGGTCTGGTCCCTTAAGGGTCATGCCACGTGGAAGTATCAGTATGAAATGTTTTAAATTTATCTTCGCCACCTCAACAAAATATCAACGGTTGAGCAAGATGCAACTGATGCTGGGTGCAGCAACGCTCTCTAGCTCTGGGGTGAGGGGAAGGCGAGGACAATGGCGCCCAGCCCCGCGCACCACCCACGCTCCACGCTGCCCGCCCCCGCCCCGCCCCGCCCGCTGGGCCCCGGACCGTGCCGCCCTGTCCCCTCCAACTCCTTTATTGGAACTTCGGGCATAGTTTCAATCCCGGGAGCCCGGCCGCCGTACAGCGACGCGCTGCTCTGTCGTCTGCTGGCGTAGTGGGGTGGGGCGGGGTGGGTCGTGGTGAGAGGCAGAACTGCCTTAAGCTTTCGAACACGACAGTCGTCAGAAAAAAAGAGAGAGCAGATGCGGCTGGGAGAAAAACGAGAATTATGACAAAAGTTTATACAGACAGAAAGTCACCAATCCTTTTTGTGGGTCCAACAGAATTAATGCACCATACAAAAGTGACCGAGAAGAGAAGTCACCCGTATTCGCAGAAGTTTTCAATACGACTCTGCGAACTCCAGGAACCTCCAGAACAAACGAGCGGCGTTCAATGTCCTGCATCGCCTGCGGGAAATTGTTTAGCAGTGGCAACCACCGTTGGCTTTGGCAGCAGCATAAAAAATGAAGTCGACACAAAGATGACAACGTTATAAAAACCATATTTTCGGTTTTCACAACCATGCGAATGTTGCACCAACCATACTTTATAGTGCTCGCTGAACCAAAATCATACGCTGGTTGCCATATAAATAACCATTACTTTCCTGAGTAAACCACTGAGCGGGATGGGACAGTGACGCCGCGCGTTATCCGTTGTGATCTCGAGTTGATGAGTGCTCCCCCATCGCCGATTCCTGCTTTCATCGTTTTTCCTTCCGACCGTTATCTGAGAGTTTATCGTCTTTCTCTTCCTGGAGCCGGACGCGCTGGCACTGAGGGTCCCCCGGACCGGAGGGCGGAGGGCGGAGGGCCCGGAGGTGGCTGGGCGACGGCCGCAGGTATCAGGACACCGGAGCCACCAAAGCCACCGGAGCCACCGGAAACAAACTTCTAATTCGCCGCCCAGCAGAGTCCGATCACTCTCTGCACACGCCCCCGGCCCTCACCTCTCACACGTTGGGCAAAAAGAAGTCTTGTCTTCTCCCAAACCTTTGCCTCCCTTCCTCCCTCTCGGTCCTGTCCTGCCCCAAATCCGTCCACTTCCCCTCCTGTAAGGGAAGACTGGCCGCCCTGCCTGACCCGGCCGCGCGCCCCGCCACGCCCCGCCACGCCCCGCCACGCCCCACCACAAGCTGTTCCCAACTGGCCATTCACACGGTAAAAACAAATCCTTGATATCCAAGGACCACGACACCGATGGGGTAGGGAAAAACACATGGAGCATCCTTGAATTGGGTGTCTTGGTCCAAGAGCATCAAGGAACTGTATTAACCGTGATTACTGCGAGTGTGACCCTCTTGAAACACGCCATTGCCTTTGTTAGACCAAAACTCGAGGCGAGACCCCTAAACGCATCACCATCCCGCCCTGCCGCACCCAGCACAAAAATTCTATTCTCTTTCTGAATATTTCTTTAATCTGTTGTGAGCAAAACCTACAATATTCTCGACATTGTAACACCTTCATGTCTGCCTGCCAAAGCGGAGGCGGCAGCATTCTCTGGTGCCGATCGCTTCATTCCCCGGAGTGCCGACGAACAGCGTCAAATTCAGCGTCTGATAACGAAGCAGTCGTCCACTCGTGGCCAGATCATGTTTATAATGAAGGAATTAATGTAATTGGAACAGCGATGAGACAAGCGAGATTTCCGTTCCGCGTAATGATACTCCAGTCGATGCAAGCAGAGCAAGGAGGGGGCGGGGAGGGGGGGGGGGCAGCCAGCCTCGGGGAGGGCCAGCCCGGCAAGCCCCGCAGCAACGTGTCAGAGCAGTTTGAATGCACAATAGCGCCCCCCCTCTCCCCCTCCACCTGACAGCGCCCCTCGCACACGATCGGTGTACGTACATACAAAAGATGTGCAGTGAGCGTTTCCACAGCAGTGGAAGAGAAAGGGAGAGGGGAAAGGGGCTCTTGGGGGATGTAGAGAGGGGGGGGGGGAGAGTTAGGGGGCTCCTCACAGCAACATCGTCCGCCCCGTTGTGCCAGGACACACGACACAAATGTATCGCCGTCAATACATTACCCAGCGCCAACGATCTCACATTACTGGCAGAGTTATTTTTACTACTCCAGTTTCGATGAAATATGCGATCGCTGCATTTCGGATCGCACACATTTATTCTTGCTGCTGTGTCGCGCGGCGTGGCCTAGCGGCGGCGGCGGTCGTGTCCCTGTGCACATGTGAGTCGATGTAGCAGTGATCGAGTCCGGATTTGCGGAAGAAAAAAGGCCCACGGAGAGAGAAGTTCGGGTCAAACACCCAAAAGTTTGGACAAATTTGAGATAAAAATACATCCGAACTTTTTCGGGACTGGTCACCAAACGTTCTCTGGCGCATCGTCTAAGCCAGGGGTCTCAAACTCGCGGCTCCCGAGCCAAGCGCGGCTCGCCCGGCCGGGTGGCGCGGCTCTCGGCGAGCCGCGCTCCCGCAGCGTTCGGTTCCAGCCGAGCCACGGGAGAGCCACTTCGGTATGCGCGCGGCTCGGCAGGCGTCTCTGCAGGCGGGAAATCGCCGCGGGATGTTCAAACTGAGCGGTCTATGCCTTCTACAATTATTTTCGCCTAGAACCATTCGCCCTTGCATTTGTATGAACGCTTGCGAAAGATTCGCACGTATCCCGTCCGACAGAGCCCTCTGCCGGACTGTCCAGCCGGGTGAGCGGCACCGGCCCGGCCCAGCAGGGCTCGCAGTCGGTGCGGTCAGTGTGAGGTGTGTGTGTGCT